ATTCCACAATCTCCTCAAGTCTGAGTTGTATGGAAGTTATTTTGTTTAATTGAGTTCTTTGTCCATGGATGAGCCAGAGTCAGGGTTTCTTGACAATTATCTCTATTTCTGGGCCTTTGGGGCTCAAATGCTTTGACCTAATCAACTCATAACATTTCCTGGTCCCAGTCAGTGTCATTCTCCTCACCACTTGGATTTCTTGGGATTGTATCTCCTCCTAAGACCTCAGCCTCTCAAAGTTGTTGTTAAACAGAAAAAAAAAAAAAATGGATAGGCCGCGATGTCAGCCTGGAGCCCACATAACCGAACAGCCAGGGTCTGGATGTCAAATCCTGACACATGCGGACATCACTAATCGATCGTGGCATTCTTCCCACGGAGCCTGGGCAAGCTTTCTCCACCCTTCTCCAGATGTCCCTGAGGCAGCCACTGCTCCTTAATTGAGTTTGGCATGTGAGCTGAGCCTGTGTGCCATCCCAGGCCTAGCAAATTGGCTCTGCATTAGAGAAGGACCAGTGGTCTGAAACTCTCAGTCAAACCCCAGGGCAGAGCACTTCCCAAGTTCCAAAGGCCAACAAATGTCGCCAAGGGGAATGTGCCTCTCAGTACATTTCTGCCCCGTCCAGACTTACGTTTGTGGTCGTTCTGTCTCAACTTGCCCACTGCTGTGGGACAAAGGATGGTTTGGAAACTTTGACAGGTGTGCTCAGCTACTTAAGTGTAGACAAGCCGGAGGGCCACCTATAATAACTGCCACTTAGTAACTGTCCGGATCTTTGCATAACCTCACTTAATCCTTCTGTGAGCCCTGCCAGGAGGGCTATGAGGTAGGGAGCTGTTCTTTTCCAGCTCATGGAGGAGTTCAGGTACCTGTTCAAGATCACCTAATAAGAGGAGAACCCGGGCTGCAAACCCAGGTCTGTCTGATTACCTGGTGTAGTTTTGGAGGAGTGGCTGATCCCCAGTCCTACTGGACTGAGATTTCCACCCGAGAGCAGGTTAGGCAGTGATCTCAGAAGGCTAGGGCAGGAATGCCCACCCCCACCCCCTCAGCAACACAGAGCAGCTCATCTTGGTGGCGACTACAGAGGGCATTTTGGCTCCCTGTTATCTCTGGTAGCTGGTTGCTATCTTGGAAGGCAGAGCTTGCCAGCCCTGAGGGAGCAGACAAGGAGATAACTGTGGAAGAAAGAGGAAGGCTTGGGAATGGGAGTGAGAAGAGGGTGATATGAGGAGAGAATGCTGGAGATAGTTTCCTCTACAATTTTGCCAAAGGCAAGCTTTGTGGAAAGTTAAGAAGCCTGGGAGAAGTGTAGGGAACAGCCCTTTATTTGTAGCAGAAGGGAAGAGGGCTTTAGTCACGAGCAGCCAGTCTCTTTTAGCAGTTGCCTAATTTGATTAGAGCTAAGGACCCTGCTGCAATTCCCCAAATACCCACTGTAAAGGTCAGAGGGAAAGGAGCCCTCCAGGCAAAATTGGCCTCTGTGCCCTGTGCTCCTGTCGAGGAAAGAAAGAGGGAGAGTGTGTGTGTTGGGGGTGGGGTGGGGGGCATAGCACTCTGAGGTACCTGGACCGCCATATCCATTGAGTGAACATAGACATATTAAGTGAATGTTCACTAGTCTCTGCTTGCTCTTACAGAATTAATCATTATCAGCAAAGACTGCAGTCACTGTACTTCAAAAAGAAGTTTGCAGAGCGCGTGGCAGAAGTTAAACCTAAAGTAGAAGGTAAAGTCAAGCCGCCCAGACGGGAAGTGATGTTCATCTTAAGTGCCCATATACAAATGTCATCCAAGTGCAGATAGTCAACAGGATTCCTTTGCTGATTTTTTTTTTCCACTCGAAATCTTTTGGAATCCTGATGGATAATTACTAAAGGCGGGTACTTGACTCACTGGCCTGGCCTGGGTTCTGGAGCTCACAGCATAACCTCCTGGGCTCCTCCACCGGGTTGGGCTTTTGACCACATGGGTGTCGGGGAGGAATTTATTTGACTGCAATTAGCATAAAGCCTGTAATTAGCCTTCTTGCAACAGGACCTTACTAGATTTTTCTAAGGGAAGGTCTGAGGCTGTTACTTGGCTTGATTTTGAGGCTCTGTTACTTTTGTAAGTGTTTGCAGTGTGGTCAAGACAACCGAAGAGCCCAGCCCCAGAATGCAGGCTGGAGTCAGAACCCTGCCTGAGCCCTGGTTCTTGATGATGCCTGCAATCTGTAGCATGTAACACATTTTACCAGTGTTTCTATCAATGGAATTGATCAGACATCCTATTGATCTGACTTGTCCAGGCAAGAAAGTGTTTGCAAAGGAATGTGGGAAATGCACTTGCTGGCCTGTGTATTCCCAAGTGCGTACATTTGATGAGCCAGCCAAGACAAGGACTGTGAGCCGATATTGTTGTGCAGCTGCCTGGGGGCCTCGTGAACAACGTTAGTTGGCTCGCCCCATCGTCCTCTTGCTCTTTGCTTCTTGTTGAGGTGTTTTGAAAGTGCGCCTGGTCATCCAACCTGATCTTGTGCCTTCAATAGATGCTCTTGGGTGTGTGGACGTATCGCTGAAAGGCTTGGTTGTAATAGTTGTGTTTGTGTATGCTTTGTTTTGAAGCAATTCGTTCTGGCTCAGAGGAGGTGTTTAGGAGCGGTGCCCTGAAGCAGCTACTAGAAGTGGTTTTGGCATTTGGAAATTACATGAATAAAGGCCAGAGAGGCAATGCTTATGGATTCAAGATATCCAGCCTAAACAAGATTGCCGACACAAAATCCAGCATTGACAAGTAAGTATGGGTTCTTCCAACACAGGGAGGATCTGATGCTGAGGTCAGGGCTTAAATCTGTACCCCGCTGGTCCCCCAGGCCTCCATGATACTGCAGCGTCTGGTTTGCCCTTAGCTTTCTCACTCATCTCTTAGCTCTGTCACAACCATGAATATCCTCAAGTTCCCATTGGGCCAATTAGCCGTCATCCATTTTCAGTCCAGAGAATATCATCTAGTCCAAGTTTTTTTTTTCTTTTTTTGGATAAACTTTTTATTTTCATCCCATGCACTAAAGACAGGTTCACTAATTATAAATGTACATCTTGATGAATTTTCACAAACTAAGCACATCTGTATAACTAGTGCCCCGATCAAGAAACAGAACCCTCCCAACACTCGAGGAGTCTGCTCATGACCTCTCCCCATCACGAGCCCCCACAGAGAACCGTGTTCCAGGGAAAAGAAAAAATCTGACAGCTGACGATAGAATCTGAAGCTTGTTGGGTTTTTAGATTATGTTTTCCTCTATAAATTGAAGCTAGCAGCTGTGTGAAAAAAATTACGATGTGTAAATGTGTTTTGGCTGTCGGTATTCAGCTGCTCATCCCAAGACTGGTTAAAATGCTTCCCCAAGAGTGCATTTTAGGTGAAGAGATTCTTGTTAGAGACACCGAGGTGTGGAAATGCTCTGGTGTCATTAGCAGGCCGGGTCATTGGGCATATTAACTCCAGGTTCCTTGAGAGCCGTATTTCTCTAAGGTTCTCACTGACTTCAAAGGAACGTGCACAGTTGTTTCTAAGATGGACTTCTCTGTACCCGAATTCTCTTTTTTTGAAATATGGGCAGTTCACCTTCATTATTCCTAACCAGTGAGGCTTTTTACTCTATATTTTCTATAGGGTTAGTGAGCCATAGCATTGTGGCCACCCTCAACCAATCCTGTAAGAAATAAGCAGTGTGTTAAATGATAGAGCTAAGCTTTATTTTCGTATCATGTAGGGATAGGTGAACAAAATGTAGCCATTGTGTTCTATCACTGCCACATTATTTTTAATGTGCGTACTAGGTCCTTTTTAGGGCACTTTCACATTTGTCACACAACAGCCTGTGAAGTACATAGGTCAGGTGCTGTGTATCGCCTACTGTCAGATGATGAAACTGCGGCAGGCTCAGGTGGCTCATTTAGCTTGCCCAAGGTCACAACAAGCAGGGTATTGGGCCTTACAGGTATTTGACACCTACCAAAAAATGGATTTTATTGGAGGTTGTAGTAGGTAATTACTGCATGTTACTTGCATTTTAAGAGCAGCCGCCTTTTTAGGGAAAAATGTTCTCTCTCTCTCTCTCTCTCTCTCTCTCTCTCTCTCTCTCTCTCTCTCTCT